ATTGAAGGGATACACGATAATTAGCGTGATTCGAAGTTTTTAACATCCGGAGATCATTAACAAACGAACATTTGCGTGTTCAAAAACCATTTCTAGATGATTTAATTATGGATTCGCGTGTAAACCCAGCTTTACGATGGAGAGAAATTCGGTATGTGGTCTGTTTTAAAAAAACTTTCTTAGCAGACAACTTAATTAATAGCAAGTTCAGGTAAGAAAAATTGAAGGGGGACATAATAATTAGCGTGATCCGAAGTTTTGGAACATAAGAATTTTACCTATTTTTTTTATAATATTTAAACGAATTTTGGATTTGTCGTTTTTTAAAACATTTACCCAATTTTGAAGTTGTCGTTTTTTAAAACATTTACCCAATACCCAAATTTTGGATGTTTTTTTAAAACATTTATCCAATTTTAAATGTTTTTTTATAATATTTAGACTAATTTTGGATTTTTAAAAATTTGAACAAAATTGTAATTTATGTGGTATACAAAATTATAATTATGGATTAAAAAATATCCGGTATAGATTTGTAATTTATGTGATATGTGTAAAATGTTGATAATAAATATATATCTTATTTAAATTGTTAGACTGTCACTAATTTTCGATGGCTGGGCATGGCATGTGGTTAGAGCAACGAACTAATAACCAAATGGTTCCAAGTTCGAAACATGCCAACCTGTGGTGGCATAATGGTAATGCGTCATAACGTAGTTATGAAAATTGCAGGTTCGAATCCTGCTCAAAGGATGACAGCACTATTTTTTTGAAAAAATTTAACGTACTCGCGCATGCACAAGTCGAAATTAGTTCGACCTTTTTATATATCCAAATTAGGTCGAAAATTGCAATTTCAAATTCAGTTCATAAGATGGTAGCCACTATTTTTTAAAATATTTTAAGGTCGAAAATTGCAAGTTCGACTTCCGAAGATAGCAGCACTATTTTTGAAAAAAATTAATGTGTTCGCGCATGCGCAGGTCGGAATAAGTTCGACCCATCCAAATTAGGCAGAAAATTGCAAGCCTACATCCAAATTAGGCAGAAAATTGCAAATATTTGACTGAATTTTTATATGTTGATGTCGTTTTCTTTAGACGAATTTTGGATATTGGAGTTGCCATTATTTTAAGCATTTAATTAGAATTTAAAAGTTTTTAATCATTTGAAAGAATTTAGGTTCGAATCCTGTCCACAGGATGGCAGCACTATTTTAATAATAAGTTCAACCCTATACATCCAAATTAAGTCGAAAATTGCAAATTTAAATTCGCGCATGTCGGAATAAGTTTAACCCTATATAATCCAAATTTGGTCGTAGATCTGAATAAGTTTATCCAAATTTGGTCGTAGATCAATAAGTTCGATTTTATCCAAATTAGGGTTATAGGATGATAAAATTTGAAATTAGATAAAAACTTCAAAAATTTGAATATGAATTTTTTAATTCTTTAAACAGTACAGATACAAAGTCATGATGATATCGCTTACATAAACAAGAAAAAATACAATAGTATATTATTTACGATAGGCATTTACACGAGTAAGAATATAATAACATTATTTACGATAGGTATTTACATGAACAAGAATATAATAACATTATTTACGATAGGCATTTACACGAATAAGAATATAATAAACATATTATTTACGATAGGCATTTACAACAATCATATAAATTAATCTTGAGGTACATCGGGTGAAAAAAAGACGGTTAAAAATTAACCATCGAATCGTACGCTTAAGACTTAACAACAATCATATAAATTAATCTTGAGGTATATCGGGTGAAAAAAGATTTACGAAATAAATATGTTTTGCAACTCGCGCGATCGTAACGAAAACATCGAATAATATATTAGATGTGTCTTGAAAACAAGATTGCTATCATTTATCAATCGAATCATATTGTTATCATTTATCAATCGAATCATACTCTTAAAAATTAAACAATACATATTTGTGGATATTGTTAGTGAGTATAATAATGTAAATTATTGATTTGTAAGATTTTTAAAATAATCATGTTGCAGTTCGATACACAACAAAGTGTGAAGACCGCGCGATCGTAACGAAAACATCAAATAACTGTGCTTGCCAAAGACATTTTATAGTTTTCTTCTCGAATTCTGAACTGTAATTACAACGTATGGTGCCACCTGTCGGCAACATTTATAACTAATTTTGAAATTTTTGTATCAGATTTTTACGGCTTTCAGACTAAGCATATCACTGGTTTCGTTCTTCTATCGATCTCCGTTGCCGAGTTATTTAATTTTAAAATGAGGGAGTCCTTTGTTGGACACTCTGTATTAGACCTTTGTATAACACACATATGATTGATGTCTTGAAAACAAGATTGCTATCATTTATCAATCGAATCATACTCTTAAAAATTAAACATCGAATCATACTCTTAACATCGAATCATATAAATTAATCTTAACATCGAATCATACATTAATCGAGGTACATCTGGAGAAAAAAGATTGACGTTTTACACTTATGAAATAACATCGAATCATATAAATTAATCTTAACATCGAATCATACATTA